CTATTTCTATTGCATGATTTGCATGCCATCGCCTCTGGGAAATCCTTTAAAAATAGAGATTATCGAAAAACACAGTAAATACTAGCTGCTGAATGTATTCTAGACCTGTGTGTCATGTACATGCATTCATACATGTACATGCATACATACAGAAAACCTGTTGTGGCCGGACCCTGTAGCAAGCGGAATCCTGTATTGACTGGACACAATTCCCATGCACCAAAGTGCTGTGGATCGAACGTGCATCCCTGGATCAAGCAGATTCCTGCCACCTAGGGTTCCCAGTAAAAAGGCAACGCCTGTTGGGGCTCCCCTAGTAAAATAATAAAATCTACTACTACTACTATATCAGGACAGTTTCCGCTGCTCTAAGGGGGGGGGGGGGGTCCGGTTAGGGCTGGTGTTACTATACATGTACATGCATTTGGAAAATAATTGTCGTCGTAGGTGGACATCTGCCATACTCACGCGATTAGGGTCCTCTCCAGCATAGTGCCCTATCTCGAATAGCGCCCCAGTCTCTAAGAGACAGTGAAAAAATAAAGGCCTCTCTTTAATAATACCCCCCCCCCGGGGGGCTTGTAACCAAGCGCATGTGCAAGTTTGGTGTTCTTTTGCTAATGTTCATGATGTCATGGCACATGATGTCATGGCACATGATGTCATGGCACATGATGTCATGGCACTGGTGGTTTTTAAAAGGGGGAACTAAAGGTTCGCGGCAGTATTTTCAACAACGACGCGAGATAATTTCACCATTTTGGAACAATTGGTCAGAATCCGTTCAAACTTTCAAAAGAGTTTCCTAGTATAGAGTGCAACTGGCACAGTGAATACAACCCAGTCTTGATATAATCATTACATAATTATTTTCTGGCCAATGAATCCGTAATTTTCATTTTTTCACTTCACACACACACGCACACACACCACACCACATACTCCGACATGCACTGGCTGTAGGTAACCACCAAGGAGAATATAAAGAAGAGCTACAGAGAATAAGAAAGAGAAGGAAGACGTGTGCGACCATTATCGTCGGGAATTGAACCCGCAACCTCTCGATTGGAAATCGACTGCACGTACCACTGTACCATAATGGGACACATACTGCCCAGGACTACTGATAATACGGCTTTTACCACGTTCACTCAACTCACGCTCGAAACACCCATCCGAGCGGCAAAATGATGACAGCACGATATGGATACGCTCACAGCATGCTTTCATGTCACGTGGCCTCATTGCCAAGGTGATGCTGCCACCTTGCGCAAGTCACGTTGACTTGTTGCTTAGGTAACGCTCAAACATCGCAGCTGAGACAGCAGCGCTCGTCGACTACGCCGTTGATTGTCTGCCTGCAACAACTAAACGCCTCATTCAAATAGTTTTATGCTTTGACCTGTTGATTGGTGAGGATTAGTACCAAGACATTTTCTTGATTTTCAGTTCTTACCATGCAAGCCTTGGGTTCGTTGAGATGAAGGCGAGCGAAGCTGATGATGCTGGTGATTCTGCTTCAGAGAGTTCCCCACCGGCCCCAATCGGCGAGGACACAGCGGACGGCGTTGCGAGAACCACTGAAAGTACCGCGTATCGGGCAGCACTTTGTGAATGCAGGTCGCTGTTAGAAACTGCCGGGGACTGTGTGGCTAGTGCGCTGTTGTCCAGAGCGGCATCGTTTGCAAGTGCTCGGAGACTCGTATATTCTATTCTGGATGAACGGAACAGCGAGAAACTTCAGTCAGAGATCCAGAATACGCCCAGCGCAGGCGAGAGTGCTGCAGAGACTCAGCTTCATCGCTATCAGAAGAGGATTGTGGATAGCATGAGATATGGCCAAGCGGAGCTGGAGGTCTTCCGTGACGACGTTGAAAGAGCAAAGGAGCACGTGGGGGCATGCGTGAAGAGGTCCTTTGAATTGGCGGATGTCTTGCACACTCGGATTGCTGATGCACAGCGAAATCACACTGAAAGCTTAGGCACCTGGATACTGCATGGCGCCACTGCATGGGTCAGATACAGCCTTCTGGCGAGCGTTAATGTTGAGACTCTGAAGGGCACTCCTGCCGATATATCCCTCGTTGGTAAATCGATGACTTCTTGGTGGAATCGACTCTGCACGTCCCGAGCAGAATCAGAGAAGAGTAAGAAGGGTCTTCAACTCCATTCTGAAAGCGAAGCTGTTCAGAAAAGTCTACAAGAACTGAAAGATGATCAGAGCAGAGTCAGACAGTTGATAAGCGATCTGGAGAAAAGCCTAGACGTGCTCAAGCAAAGGCAAGACGGCAGTCACTACGACCCTCACCATGTGCAGGAAGCGTTCGAAGATCTCTGGGATCGAGCCCGTCAGCACAAGGCATGGTTGACAGAATCAAGGTCAGCCTCGAGTGCAGCGTAACGTTAACGGCGGAATGTTTCATAAGAGTCCATGAATTCCGATTGTAGGCGGATGCTGACCCATTACCACCGTTTGAGAGGTACAGAGACATTCTTCACTCACTAACTATATTTTTAAAACACGAATCGAATAATAATTTAAATAGGAAAAGCATACGTTGAGATAGAATTGTAAATTAACGCAATAAATAGAGTAAGCTGCACATTCAGTTCAAGGAAAAATAATACATGAAAACAAGATTTGCTTATGGTGTTTGTACGGAGAGCGCAGCCTACTCTATTTATTGCGTTAATCTAAATAGGCTGTGCAATTTGGAATCCCTTCACAGAGCTGGTGCCGCTGGTATGGCTAGTACGACCATGGCCGCACCAAACTTTACCAAAGTCCAGCTTTCATGTAATGTCCTGTGTATCATTAAAATGTGACAGCATCAACACGCCATCCTCGCTACAGAACCTTTCCTCCTAAACTGGTCTTCTTTTCCTGTGAGAACTACTCTGCTAGCTGTATATATTTTGCTAGAGGAATGAGTAGCTGAAACAACCAGATATGATGCCGCATGCATCGTCACATGTCACTGAATTTAGGCATGGGGAAATGATCGGCTCTGTAGCCGACCTGGGCCCGTGCCACCCCCCCCCCCCCCCCCCCCGATGAGCTGGCTCCGGATCTGCTTCACGTTCAACGTACTTATCACTGTTTTGTTCAAGTACCTAGTCTATCCATTGGCACCCAGATTATCTATCCCGCTTTGATATCAATATCTCATCTAGCGCACGCCGACCAAACAAACTGATCTTCAATTCTCATGGTCGCATCTCTTCTTCTCTCTTTCTGCATAAAATCGGTTAGCTGTGGACAAGGTTGATATCCCCAGATTCACTTTCTAACTTTGAGCAGCAATTTTGCTTGGATGTGAAAAGTTATAAATTTGACTGTTGGACATTTTTGAATTATAATTATTATTTCGAATAGCCTAGCCTGTTGTATAGTAGTAGTAGTAGAATTTATTATTTTGATAGGGAAGGCCCTACAGACGTTGTATTGCTCATTATGTAGCCTATAGTTTTCCTCACTGTCTATTCTATTGCATGATTTGCATCAGGAGGTCCCCTTGACAGGCCATCGCCTCTGGGAAATCCTTTAAAAATAGAGATTATCGAAAAGCACAGTAAATACTAGCTGCTGAATATATTCTAGACCTGTGTGTCATGTACATGCATACATACAGAAAAACCTGTTGTGGCCGGACCCTGTAGCAAGCGGAATCCTGTATTGACCGGACACAATTTCCATGCACCAAAGTGCTGTGGATCGAACGTGCATCCCTGGATCAAGCAGATTCCTGTCATATCAGGACAGTTTCCGCTGCTCTAAGGGGGGGGGGGGGAGGGGGCGTCCGGTTAGGGCTAGTGTTACTGTACATGTACATGCATTTGGAAAATAATTGTCGTCGTAGGTGGACATCTGCCATACTCACGCGAGTAGGGTCCTCTCCAGCATAGTGCCCTATCTCGAATAGCGCCCCAGTCTCTAAGAGCCAGTGAAAAAATAAAGCCCCCGGGGGGGGGGGGGGGGCTTGTAACCAAGCGCATGTGCAAGTTTGGTGTTCTTTTGCTAATGTTCATGATGTCATGGCACATGATGTCATGGCACATGATGTCATGGCACATGATGTCATGGCACATGATGTCATGGCACATGATGTCATGGCACATGATGTCATGGCACATGATGTCATGGCACATGATGTCATGGCACTGGTGGTTTTTAAAAGGGGGAACTAAAGGTTTGCGGCAGTATTTTCAACAACGACGCGAGATAATTTCACCATTTTGGAACGATCGGTCAGAATTCGTTCAAACTTTCAAAAGAGTTTCCTAGTATAGAGTGCAACTGGCACAGTGAATACAACCCAGTCCTGATATTACATAATTATTTTCTGGCCAATGAATACGTAATTTTCATTTTTTTCACTTCACACACACACACGCACACACACCACACCACATACTCCGACATGCACTGGCTGTTGGTAACCACCAAGGAGAATATAAAGAAGAGCTACAGAGAATAAGAAAGAGAAGAAAGACGTGTGCGACCATAATCGTCGGGAATTGAACCCGCAACCTCTCGATTGGAAATCGACTGCACGTACCACTGTACCATAATGGGACACATACTGCCCAGGACTAGTGATAATACGGCTTTTACCACGTTCACTCAACTCACGCTCGAAACACCCATCCGAGCGGCAAAATGATGACAGCACGATATGGATACGCTCACAGCATGCTTTCATGTCACGTGGCCTTATTGCCAAGGTAATGCTGCCACCTTGCGCAGGTCACGTTGACTTGTTGCTTAGGTAACACTCAAACATTGATCACATCACGTTGACTCGTTGCAAAGGTAATGCTCAAACATTGATCATGACATGCTCACATACTACAACTTGTTAGGCGATGCACACATGCTCAAAACACCAATCTGCGCCGCAACATGATGTACTTGTAGCATGACACGGATACGCTCACAGCATGCTCACACGCAGTTCACGTCACGCTCACACAGTGCTCAGCTCACGTTGACCCGTTGCTATGGTGACACTCGCAGACGCTGCTCATGTTGTTCTCGTTGTTTAGTAAGTTGTACTTCACCAAGTGAACAGGCATTGCTGCCTTCTCACCATGTACCAGGTCCAGAGACCTAGTTCCTACAATTCTGATGAAGAGAATTCAGAAGAGCAAATGAACATGTACCGTATAAATTGATTAAAATCATGTCACGCTCAGGAGTCACATGTTGCTCAAGTAAGTTAATGCTCGCATATTGCTCAGTGCCATGCTGACACATAGCTCAGTTCCATGCTCATACATTACTAAGGTAACGCACACACATAACTCAGTTTACGCTGACTCACTGCTAAGGTAATGCTCACAGGCGTTGCTCAAGTAATGCTCGCACAGTGACATGCTCACACATCGCTCAGTGACATGCTCACACATCGCACAGTGACATGCTCACACATCGCTCACTTCCGGTGTTTCATATCTAGTCTAGATGCTATCCACGCCATGCATGAGCCAACACAGGTACACCAACAGGTCGGCGTTGGCCTGCACGTAGGCCGTGAAGCCAGCCGAGTGCAGATCGCCGCTCTGGGACATCTTATAGAGGAACGCCGACACGTCTCCCTCCCCGGAAACATCCTCAAATCCACGCTCTCGGAAGCATGCCAGCACGCTGTCGACCGTTAGCTGCTCCTGTCCATTGGAGAGAGCATCGAATGCAAGTGCAATGAGATTGTCCTGATCCGGCACTTTTAATGCCAAGTCCAGGGTGCCGACTACATACTCGCGGTAGCGAAGGCGTCCGCAGTCCGAAACGGTGTCATACGCCGTGAACAGTCGCTCGACCTGCTCAGCCAGTGGCCATCTCAGATGATCAGCAAACTCCTGTAGGCTCACTGCGCCGCTCTTGCTGGTGTTGATGCGGACGTAGCGCTCCAGGATCGCCTTCAGCTCGGGCAGGCGGACACCGAACGCGCGGCTGATGAGATTGTACTCGATGAGGGCCGCGTCGACTGGCAGTCCGGCGTCCGTAGCCTGGTAGATCAGCCTGAGGTCCTCCAGCGTGTGCTCGGTGGCCGGGAGGTCCAGCGTCGACGCCACCAGTCGTTTGAAGTTGCGTGAGTAGAGCAGCGGGTCGGCTTGCTCCTCCGCCGATGGCGTGTACACAGGCATGAACTCGATCTCCAGGTGGTTACGCCATTGGCACAGAGTAAGCAGGAACGAGGTGGCTGGCCCGCGGCTAAAGCTCGTCCACACGCCCACCTCGGGCAGCCGGTAGCGCAGCAGCACGCCCTGGATGGGCGCGGCCGGCGCAAACGCCCCCGTCTTGAACCCGATCACCTGGCGCGCGTTTGACAGCGTGCCCTCCGGCGACAACATGACCGGCAGCCAGTTGCCGGGGGAACGGATCCGCTCCTTGACGCTCTGTACTGTACCGCCTGCGCCGGCACCTCGGTCCACGAAGATCGGCTCGCCGGCACTTAGAATGGTGCCGATGATCACAATGTTCTTGTTCTCTATACGACTGAGCGGCGTTATCGGGAAGAACGCCATTGCGAACAGCGTCTCCAGGATGTGCGAGTGCGGGCAGAAGATGTTGATCGGTGCTTCGGCGGCGCTTGCACGCCGTCCGCGCACTGGCACCCAATAGTAGCCGAATCCTAGAAAGAGCCACGCGCGGCCCACGATGGGTGCCACCTTTCCGGTCAGTATCTGCTGCCAGGGCTTCTGGTGTTGGCCCGGCTTCCAGCCCATGCCCGCTAGACTGCACAGCAGCCATACGATCGGTACGAACAGCACACACACGACGAGGCGCAGCGGCAGTAGCAGCACAAAGCCCAGCGCTAGCTTGATGCGCATCCACGGCGTGAACGTTATCGGGTTCGTGAAGGGATTCGGCATCTTGCACTCCGGAAAGCGCCGCACGGCCTTCGCCATGCTTACGCCTTGAACAGGAAGCTCGAATCTCTACTGATTAATGTTTGGCCGCGCTGATTTAGCACAACGCCAGAGCACCACGCCAAGGCGACCAGCAGCTGCAACGACAACCAAACTTCTGCTCCCGATTCAGTTGCTTGAAGTATCAACCTGTCTTGCCAAGATCACTGACAAAGCTGCTATGGCCGCCGCTTGTGCTGTATTCTATTTTTACATTTCCAAGCAAGAACAACATTTTTAGCTACGAACTGGTACATTGCAATCATGTACCTAGAAAGTAGCTGATGATACATCTCCGGCTCCTTTTTGCCCCTTTGGCTTTGCCTTTGTTTGTTTCGAATAATCCTCAGATCGCGTGACCATGTGACATCGCAATGAAAATTAGATCGTAGACCAGGTAGACGCCGAGATCATGTATGTACCCGTCGTGGGTCTACATAGTCTACAGTCAGTGCTGGCAACTGAAGTACTACTCTCCTCATATCATGCTCACACTGTCTTTCTAGTTTTGTTGATCATGCTGTTGACAGAGATGGTTGAGGGCCTTGCAAGCCTTGCATTCAGTCACCGACATGATTGTCGTGTGAGTGATGTGCTAGCTGCATGCAATGATGCATGCATGCAAAGGCCGCCTGCACTGCTGCTCCTGATCGTGAGTCAAAAATGTACAATCATGTAAATGAATAATAATTATTATAATATTCGCGGGATCCGCGTTAGCGTCACTTGAATGTTCAGAAACACACAAGCTAGCATAGCCTTCGCTTCCGCAGGCCACCACTATGCCTGTACACCTTATGTAAAAGTAAGGTTAGTGGCGAATGCAGACCTCACAAGTGAGTCAGGGGAGAGGAGGTGAGTCTCTCAACCGCGTGTAACGGCCCATAACCCTGCAAACTGCATCCTTGGCCTTGTTATCCTCACTCCGAGCTGTGAGTACCCAGTTGACCGACGCGTGGGTACGGGTGTCGGCGCAGTTCAACACGCGTAAAAAGTCTTTTTACACGCTCCCTCCTAGCGCTAAGCTATAAGCGCGGGTCTCGAACTCGGGACCTCATGATAAGGAATAGTGAAAATAATTACAGACCAGTCATTGTACATGACCTATGGCTATGGCTATGTCTATGAGTATGACTAGTATCTATGAGTATGACTCGTATCTATGAGGCTATGATCCACTACATTGTACTACTACAAGACTGTACAAAAGGACAATGACAAAAGCACATGCCCCGCCCATAGGCATGGCCCACGGGGCCACTAGTGCACTATTAATTAAACTGTACTCAGTGACTTTTTACATTTTAAAGGCTACGTTTTATTATTATTTTTATTGTAAAGCTTTTGATCTTGTCTCTTATTGTTGTAACCTTTCCACAATAAAATACCCTAATAGATCTGCTCCTCGCCCCTAACTCTCTAGTTGGAACATGCACGGTCATCAAGTGTGACATCAGCGACCACTACGCATTTGTGGCCAACATTATCGTCGCCACCCGGCAGTCCGAACGAGTCGCATCTCGAAAGAGGCGAGTGTGGAGGATAAATTGGGAGCATTTTAACGCTGACTTGCAGGACTGCAATCTTGAGATTTTCAGCAAGTCGAATGATGTTGATGCAATGATAAGCGAATGGTACGCAAAGGTTTTTACTGCTCTAGATCGTCACGCCCCCTTACAACCTCCTCGTAAGCCGAGGCGCCGACCTTGCCCATGGTTGTGTCCTGAACTTGTATCTGCTGTGCGTCAACGAAACAAGGCCCACCGACTTCTTTCACGCTCTCCAAACGATGTCCGCCTGCGAGAGCAGCACCGCACTCTCCGCGCAGCCGCGCGCAAGCTAGATCGGAGGCTAAGGGATCAGTATTTTCAAGCTCGCCTACAGTCGGCCGGAAAGGATGGACGGAAGCTCTGGAATACGATAAACGTGGTGACTGGACGAGCGAAAAGTTCAAGCCCACCACAAGTACCTGTTGGAATCCTCTCCCGAACTTTTGGCGAAGTTGTACATGACCCTGGACGACCAGACGCGCTGTGCGCCAACGCACCAGCCGAACGTGAAGCACCAGCATTCACGGAATTTGCGCCTGTTTCGACGGAGGACATTACGGCCCTTCTCCAGTCCGTTGACGCGTCAAAAGCAACTGGACATGATGACTTGCCGGGTATTGTCCTTAGAAACTCGGCATCAATACTGGCTCCCTCGCTCAGCATCATTTTCAATACTTCGTTATGTCAGGGGTGTGTTCCCCGTCAGTTTAAAATTGCTAATGTGTCGCCGCTATTCAAAGGTGGCGGCCTTGACCCTTGTCAGCCTACTGCCTATCGACCTATTTCTCTACTACCAGTCGTTTCTCGCCTCCTCGAGAAGATCGTCAAAGCTCAGCTTACATCCTTTCTGACCGATCACAGTATTCTCCCTGACTCGCAGTTCGCGTACAGGAAGAACCACAGTACGGAGGACGCTCTTGTGCTAGCTGTCAATCGCTGGCTGAAAGCGAAGTATGAGCGCAAACTCACAGGTGTGATATTCGTGGATATGTCGAAGGCTTTCGACTGTGTCAAACACACCATCTTGGCACAGGAGCTATCCGACATTGGGGTCGGCGGTACTGTCCAGATATGGTTCACTAGTTACCTGAGTGAGCGGCTTCAACGCGTAGTCGTGGGCGGAAATTGCTCGGAATACGTCGCATGCAGTCGAGGGGTGCCGCAAGGATCCGTCCTCGGCCCCCTCCTGTTCACACTATACATCCGTAACCTTCGATGCTGCTTGCCCCAGCAGGTCACAAACCAGGAATTTGCAGACGACATTGCAATTGAAGCCTCGGGCAGTTGCGAACAAGTGTGCTCTTCTCTAAGCACAGCCATCACTGGCCTGTCGCAGTGGTTGGAGGACCGCGGGCTAATGCTGAACCAAAAGAAAACGCAAGCTCTGTTGATTACCCCAAGAGGCCCAGCCCCTGACACAGATAACATTCGAATTCGCTGTGGGAATGCAGCCCTTGCAGTTGTGGAACAAGCGCGGTACCTGGGCGTAATGGTAGATGGGCAGCTCTCCTGGGAGCCTCACGTCAATCACACAATCCAGCAGGTGCGGAAGTCAGTAGGTGCGCTGTGGCGGAGCCGCCGAAGCCTCACCTTGGCGTCAAAGATCCTGTTTTACAGGTCGATGATCCAGGGTAGGTTGTCGTACGCTTCCAACGCCTTTTATCCGTCACTTCAAATTGGCAACATGGAGCCCCTCACACGTCTAACGAAGTGCGCTATTCGCGGCTTCTTCGGTCTGCCACCGTGGTCGCGCACGAGCCCGATCTTTGAACAGCTCCGCCTCACCACCCTGGAGGACATGTTTAACATTAAGCTCCTCATCTTTGTCCGTCGTTGTCTGTTCTCCCGAGCTAGCTCCCTCTTCACCAGCTTCTTCGTGAGAGTTACTGGTGACCGCACTCGGGGGGCGACACATCACCTCGTTCGAGTACCATTTTGGCCCGGTCCTGCGGGTCGAGCGACCATGCAGTTCATCGGCGCAGTCCTGTGGAACCAGCTCCCGCCTGATCTCCGTTCCGAGCCCAGCCACCTTCAGTTCTGTGCCCTGCTAAAAGCGCATCATGGCTCCGTTTAAATGCTTTTCGGCTAGTGTGTTTCTGTGGTATAGCGGACTGAAGAATAGTAAACGTGTTTTGCAATATATGTATGAAGCTATTTTGTATATAGTATGTTCCCATTCCGTTTTTGCTTTGGTGTAGCCCTGAGGTTGATTGCTTATTTATTTCTACCCTTCCTCTCTCCATACTTCTGCCCCCCCCCCCCTCTCTCTCATTCCTTCTGTCGTCCACATGTATCAAAGGAGGCGAAATCGCCTGTTTGTGGTGCGACGTTAAATAAACTTCTACAACAACAACAACAACAACAATAATTGTGTCGCATTGTCAAAAAAAAAAAAAAAACTAGTGCACTCGCTCCATTGCATGCAGGGCGAGGCTGTGTCAGGCAATATGGCGCTCCTGTGGATGTCCGGGCTTGTGGATTCTGGTCGCGGTAGCAAAATGCCTTTTTGGATGTTCGGGTGACTCACCCAATTCCCAAAGCCATATTTGCTGTCGGGATCACAAGTAATGAGCCAGTTGCAGGTCTGCGGAAGCAGTTTTTCCGGTCATTCTCTAGCCTTTCATACAGTTTGTGCATGATATGGAGGACCTCCTGGGAGTCCTAGGATCCTCAGCAGTAAGGACGCATTGGTGGCCAAAAGGTTGGTCCGGTCATGGCCTGACCAACCGGACCAATTCCGCCGGGCCTGAAACTGTTGGCAGACCACGAACGTCAGAAGAAGCGCCAATAGACATAATTGTAAATAGAGACTTAGTCGGAGGGAAACATATCAGCACACGAAGAGACGAAGCTAGTTGCAAATTCTGATGAGGCCTTTCGTACCATTACTCTTCAAAATCAGTACTTGGTGATTTATTATGGTGATAATGTACTCTTTGGCGCAACTCACACTATCATTCAGCCTGTGTACGTTTCATCACAATTTTTCCGCCAATATGCTGTATAAATTGACATCGTTGTGCTTCGTCACATTATCACCATGTACATCAGATTTTCAACTAGCTTCGTCTCTTCGTGTGCTGACATATATGTAAGTATACATTTCTCCATGATTACACGAGCAATGACAACAAAATACACACAACTACATACATGTACATGTACATGTACTAGGGCTCGAACTCGGGACCTTGCTAGTCATGAGCAAGGCTCTAACCATCTGAGCTACATGTATGGGACCAGGCTGAACATAGAAGGCGCTGATAACCACGGTCAGTTTCTGGAACGTACTACAAGTAGGGACTTCAGACCACGTGACTTCTTGGCCCAAAACTGGCAAAAGCGTGCAAATCGACGCCTGCACAAATCGTGTGATGGTCATATGTCAAGTCGTGTAAAGAAATGTGGAACCGTTTTTCGAAATGAAGGAAGTCTTGTACAGTTGGAGAAAGTTTCGGTTCGTCTTGTTGGAGCTTGCCTTCGTTTGGGACCAGCAAGAATGGAGCTGTTACGTTCATTTTTGACGGAGATACGTATGCGGATGGAAGGGAAAGGTGAGAAACCATATGATCCGTCCGGGTCCCCTTCTTGAAAATGTGATATTCGTATTCTACGACCTCGAATTAGTCTAGATAGAAGGTAATCTTTATTGTTTTCACCTTCCAGAAGACCTATTTCTTGCATTATTCCTCTTTGTACTTTGCCGTGCAGCGCCGCCATAGTCACAGTATGGAAAGCAGCGAGAAGTATCCTGCGCTAAATGATGCTGATGTACAAATTGAATTGCTCTTGGCTGTTTCGGTCCATGCCTCGATTCTTGTCTCCAATGCTGTTATGCTCGATCTGGTTGAGCTCCGCAAGAATAGCTGAAAGAGTGCCGAACTGGGAGATGTGCTGTATACTCTTGTTGCTACTTGCTGTATCTCTGCTGATGATGATGTGCGTGCTACGATTACCCCAGCCAATGTCCTGTACATGTACATGTACATGTTGAGCTTAGTCAGTGCCTCTTCCGTGGTCATTCTTTTTCTTGACACCAACCACACCAACAGTCCGAAGCTATCTCAGGACTGTATTATCAATGTCTCCTGTTACTACCCACTACATTGTAAACCATACTATTCCGCTATTTCATGCGGAGAATCAAGATTGTTTTTGGATCTGGTGTGCGGTTGCTATGCGTTGCCAAGGAAAGTGGGTTCTCTCAGTTTGACATATCTCTCTGATCTCAAATGTGTGGGACGTTTGTCGGACAAATCCGGTGATAGGCGATGACTATTTTGCTTGTAACTTTAGTTTCCTTTGTCCGATTTAGAAAAACTAAAGACCAAACTCCTCAGGAAGCTCTAACCTATCCAAAAAGCAAAGCATAAGCCACAGAAAACCGATTTGAAAAAATGGTCTGAAGTCCCTACTACAAGAAGTGAAAGAAAGTGAATGAATTGTATAGGATTTGGAGAGTGCCCCCCGACACGTGTACAGAAGGAAGGCGAAGAGAAGGGGGGGGGGGCGGTGGAATGCCGTGCATGTGATGTCGGTGTGAGTGACGGTCAGGGTATCTGTGTCGCAGAATGTGGCCCGGTCTATGGTATATTCAATGTTTTGTTCCGCTTGTGGAGAGGAGTGTGCGGGAGAGACGGAGTGATGTGTCCGGGAGCGATTCCAGGAGAAATACAGAGAAGCTCAATTCCGTGCACCGCAAAAGCCCCTGGGGATAACACTACGCATTGCACCAACCACTACAACATCCATCCACAGCTCCATTCATTCCCTTCACATCACCATCCATACTCGCAAAGGAAATGTTGTACGTGAACAGCGGGATAATTATTATTCTTTATTTCCACGATGGCCCATGGCCAATAAGGAAGATAATATGATTCAAATCAGTCCAGAATCATATAAAATCAGTCTAGCAAGTAAGGAAACCAACACATTGCAGGGGGATGGGGTCACGATGGGGTACAGTGTGAGCTACTACAGGAGCATATGGATGATAGAATGAGGCTAGACGCCATTGATTTAAACGCATGCTTGCTATTTGTTTCACGCAGGTCGGGGGGTAGTTGGTTGAAATTGTGAAGGGATAGGTTGATGGGTGAGTTGGTGTGTCGGTATGTGTGTGATGTTCTAAATGTGTATGTTCTCATGTGTCGTAGTGCATATGGCTGCCCTGTGATTGGTCGTGCAAGGTGAGGCTGTTGCAGGTGAAGGGGAGCGCGGATGTACTTGATGTTGTGTGAGTTGCCGGGAGACTAATGTGGGGAGTTGGAGATGATGAAGAAGTGAGCTGTGATGGACTGGTGCAAAAAGGGGGATCCGCAGGCAGATACGGGCTGCTCGTCGCTGAACGCGTTCTAATTGGTCCTTCTGTGTGCGGGTGGTGTTGGATAACACGAGACTGCCGTACTCTATACCCGGGCGAATGTAGGCGGTGTAGATTACGAGCAGACTGGGGGTGTTAAGTTGGCCTCGTGTTTTACGAAGTTGGTGAAGGAGTTTTTTGAATTTGTTTATTATGTGCGTGACATGTGAGTTCCATTGGAGGTTGTTTTGTAGTATGATTCCAAGGTGACGGTGTTCTTTGACTTGCTTTAGGGGTGTGCCATTAAGAGTGATGTTGAGTTGGTGGTTTGGTGTGAACGACAAGGTAACGGTCTTTGAGGCATTGACGAGGAGGTGCCATCTGCGCAGCCAGGTTGCGGCAGCTGAAACGGCTGACTGCAGGGACAACTCCGATGTCAAACGGCTCTGGTGTGTTGCGATGAGCGCCGTGTCATCTGCAAACTGGCTGCACTTTGTGTTCGAGTTGGTGCAGGCAGAGGGCAGGTCAATGGTGTAGATCAAGAACAGCAGGGGGCCTAGAACGGATCCTTGGGGCACCCCTGCTGGTATGGCTTGCCACTCACTGAAGGCGTCGCCGACACGAACACGTTGACGGCGATGGGTGAGGTAGCTGACCATCCATTGCAGGGCGGTTTCTTTCAGGCCGAGGTGTTGCAGTTTCTTGAGGAGACCGGCGTGCCAGACTCTGTCGAAAGCCTTCGAGAGATCAAAAAAGCAAGCTGTGACGGAAAGACCTTTATCTCGGCTCTCGGAAACCTCGTGCACGAGTCTGGCGAGCTGGAGTTCGGTGCTATCATTGGCACGAAAACCGGATTGATCCACTGGGAGGAAGGGTGTGACGTGCTTGTAGAGTCGCTTGTGGACGATCCTCTCCTGCACTTTACTGATAACGCTGAGAAGTGATATAGGCCTGTAGTTTGTTACCAATGACCGTTCGGCTTTCTTGTATAGTGGGCTCACAGTGGCATCACGCCAGTCCTGTGGTTGTTCACCTCTCCGAAATGACTCATTGAAAAGTCGGGAGAGTGACGGCGACAGCTCACGCGCCGTGGTCTTGAGGAGTCTTGTTGGGATGTCGTCAAACCCAGGGGCTTTGCAAGGATTAAGGGCTCCTAGGAGCTGTTCTACCTCGGCGGGTGTGGTGGTGATTTGGGCAAGCTCTCTCTCGCCGGATGTTGGTAGAAGGATGTCGGGGACTGGCTCGTTGTCGACTGAGACGGACTTCTTGCTTTCTGAAATGAAGAAGCTGTTGAATGCTTCTGCCTGCTCTAAGTTCGATGTGAGCTTCCTGCCATCATGGTTCAAAGCTGGCATTTCCTTTCTTGGTGAAATTCGAGGGGTCTTCATAAGTTTGTAGAGGTTTGGGCGGTTTGTATGGGTTTGGTCACAGTGGCTGTCGGCATTGGCTGATTTATGAACGAATTTGGACTTGGCGCTGCGGAGAAGAGTTGTTGTCTTGTTTCGCTGAGTTGTGAACTGGTCCCAGTCTTCAGCCGTCCGTGTCCGGAGGTATTTCCTGTATAACCTGTGCTTTGTACGGATAAGGGAAGCCATCCACATACATTATCAAGACGCCATCCGAAGGTGAACAATGATCGTGGTTGGGTACTGCTTGAGAATAGGGCTTGAAAGTGATGACGTCAAAACAGCCAGGGAGTAGTAAGTTGACATCAGATTTCTATTTTTGGATCCACTAAGGTGTGACTTTGCTATTGCCTAAGTATGTGGGTGCATAGCAACCCACTCATGTCGCATGCAGGTGTGACTTTTATTTCGCCACCAGTTGTAACCCCGCCCCCAGTAGCCAAATCAGTCAGTTTCACTGGCTACATCACCATTCTGTGGGTAAGACCGCTTGAAAATGTGCTTGGATCCATACAAAAACTGGATCCAAGTGGATCCATACAAAAACTGGATCCAAGTGGATCCAGTTTTTGAATTTTTTGAAATTGTTGCTATGCTGTGACGTAGCACTTTCAAGCCCTATTGACAATGTGAAATTAAATGGATGATGGTCACCGTTACTGTTGCCACTGTCCTGTCCTGTTGTCATGTCCGCTTGCTCACGCCATTTATTATTGTACAGTCCAGCACAATGTTGTAGCATAAATGCAGTTTGGGGACAGGATCTCATCTTTTTGTCGTACAGTGTTTGGTCCACCACTATTCACACATTGTTTTCAGGCACATTGGTTTTTGGGGCTTTGTGTGTGTGTGTGTGAGTGTGTGTGTGTGTGTGTGTGTGTGTGTGCGTGTGCGTGTGTGTGTGTGTGTGTGCGTGTGTGCTCTAGACCTTGGCGGATAATGCTCGAAAAGGTGGCAGATTCTGCTCGAAAAGCAGTGAAATTGGCAGAACCATACAAACCTTATCGCGGGCAATTCCTCGAATTCTGCTCCATTTCTTTATCCACATACCAAACATGCATGAAACTTACCAGAAAAAGTACCGAATTCTGCCAATTTTTCTGCCGGCATTATCCGCCAAGGCCTAGTGTGTTCTCTCTTGGGTGGTTACCAACAGCCAGTGCATGCCGGAGTATGTGGTGTGATGTGTGTGTGCGGGGAACACATGAAAAAGACCAAAAGTAGGGATTCACTGGCTTGAAAAAGCCACTTCATAGCTGTGTGGTGTAGACCAGGCTGAATAGTGGCGGTCAATTTTTCAGCCTTGCAAGCTGTTGAATGGTGCAATCCCAGCACAAGGTGCTATAGCTTCTGCCGTAGCATCGCTATCATCGCCTCCGGCGATGGGCGTAAGAAACAGAAAAATGGTCCAATGGTGCGTGTGTGTGTGTGTGTGCGTGTGTGTGCGTGTGTGTGTGTGTGCGTGTGCGTGTGTGTGTGTGTGTGTGCGTGTGTGTGTATGCACATGTGTGGGTGTGGATGTGGTTCTGAGTGTAAGCATGTGTGAGCGTGAGTGTTGGCGGAGTGTGAGTGTGTGTGTCTGTGTGTTTCGGCGTGTGCGTTGGTGTCTGTATGTGTGATTGTCACGTGCCCTAAGGAAGGTGTACTGACTGTAATCTCATCACGCATGTTGTAGTTTCGTTCCACTTTGTGTTGCATGATATAGGTCCCCCTCACTTGTTTCTCTCCTCAATCCTGGTGATGGCTCCTGGCGAAATTTGATTGAGGTAATTTGCAGCGAAGAGACCACTTAATTTGAGGATGGTGTGTGTAGGGTTTTTCAGGATTGGGAGAACTTCAAACTCAAAGGATCAACTGGGGAAGTGAACTGACTGAAACAAGAAAAAAAGTTCCCCGGGGCCGTGTCCCCTGGGGGAGGGAAAAGACCCAAGTGTCATCTGAGTATGTGTGGCACGTGTTGTGAGCTGCCTTTGGAGTGAAAAACTTGTCAGCGCCTTCTAGGTTCAGCCTGGTCCCGTAGCTGAGATGGTTTGCGAATTGGTCATGACAGGCAAGGTCCAGAATTCGAGTCCTGGTGGGTCTGGTATTTTTTTTCTCTTTTCAGGCAGTTCACTTCCCCGACTGATCTTTTGAATTTTGAAGTTCTCCAAATCCTACAAGTACAAATTACACACTATTACTACATAGTACTTCAGTACTGAACAGTAAACGCACGATAGAAATTGCTAGCAGTTCATACCTCGATGAGGAAAGAACAACATAGCGTAGCAGCAGCAGCAGCAGATACGATATTGGCATGAAAGCATCAGAAATGTCTTCACAACCGTCCTCAGCATAGAGCAGTAAGCAGGCAAGCAGCAACTGAGGAAAAACATATGTTCAAGAAGAAATGCAGGCAAAAACCTATTGATGGTCAGGGTTTAGCAGCAGGGATAT